TCCTTACCCTTTACGTCATTTTTCCAGTTTTTCTTTGTCACGACCCAAAAACTAACCCTGTAGTGATGGCACCTATCGTGGTACTAGGCAACCAGACACATTACCAAAACAATTTGATATTTTTGTTTCAAAGATAATTCCAAAGCTATTTAGTATAAAACCATCATAAAAGAGTTCACATCAAAACAAAAGTACGAAAAAGAAAGCCCGATATCGGGGTGTCACTAGTCATGAGTATTTACTACAAATGTCTGACAATATCAAAACCAACATAGTCTGGAAATAATTGAATACAACTAAAGGAAGATAAAGACGGAGGAAAGCAGGGCTGCGATCGACGGGCAGCTACCTTGCTTACTACGATGGATCTGCAACTGAATAATCAACACCCGCTACCATGTCCAGAAATGCCTGGATCTGCACACAAAGTGCATGAAATAATATGAGTACGCCAACTCAGTAAGTAACAATAGTAAATAAAGACTGAGAAGTAGTGACGAGCAATTATAAAAGTAAAGTTCATATCACAGTAATTTAGTAAAATACATCACTCTTTTTAAACCATAGTTTGAATCAAATCACCTTGTTTAAATCCAGTTCCAGTAAAATCATTTAATAACATTTTTCAATAGTTTTCGAACAAAGGTTCAATGCAAAAGTGAGCAAAATGATAAAATCATAAACAGCTCCTCGGGCAAACATCACTCGTATACAGCCCATCGGACAAACCTCACCATTACCGATATGCAGCCCCGCGGGAAAACCTCACCATCACTCATGCCTCCCAGTCATTTAGCACTCGCACTTAGTAGGTACCCACGCTCACTGCGGGTGTGCAGACTCCGGATGGGCTCCTTCAGCCCAAGCGCTATAACAAGCTAATCATGGAATAAATCAATCAGGCACTCAGCCTCACTCAGTCATAAATCAATAAAATATGATGCGACGTGCTGCCCACTCCCATAAATATCCTCACCATCAGGCCTTCAGCCTCACTCAGTCATCAATCTTTCCCAGCCTCTCGGGCCCTTAGAAAGAAAACAAAGTACTCAACCCAAACAACATTTATATGATGCATCAAAATAGAGTAATAAAGACTGAGTTATGTAGTAAATAAGTATAAACATGATTGAGTATATATTTCCAATCGAAAACAATAAGAGGATAGCAGGAAATGACCTTTATGGGTTCAAACAACACTGGCATAAAGCCTAAACATGGCATCCAGCCCGATTTATAGAAATTCTTGCTAAATCACGTAGGAAACATGTAGTTTCAACAAAATATTCAGCTTTACAGTTGATACAGGACGGACCAAGTCACAATCCCCAATTGTGCACGGCCACATGCCCGTCACCTAGCATGTGCGTCACCTCAAGATAGTCACATGACACAAAATCTGAGATTTCATACCCTCAGGACTAGATTTACAATCTTTACTTACCTCAAACCGATCAAATCTCTACTCTGCGATGCTCTTGCCCCTCGATTTGGCCTCCAAATGCTCTGAATTTATTCACAACCAGTACAATACCATCAATATATGCTAAAGGAATGAACTCCATAAGGAAAACTATCAAATTAGACCAAGAACCCGAAATTAGCTCAAACCTGGACCTTGGGCCCACGTCTCGAAATCCGATAAAAATTAGAAAACTTAAAAGCCCATTCACTCACGAGTCCATACATACGAAATTTATCAAAATCCGACTCCATTTGGTCCCTCAAATCCCCAAATCAAACTCTTCAAAATCCTAAACCCTAATCCCTCATTTTCACCTATAATTACCACTAATTAATTGATAAAACAACGGAAAAATACCATAGATAGGAGTATTAGAGATCAAGCAACATACCTCACTGAAAACCCCTTGAATCTCTCTTCAAAATCACTCCAAAAGCTCCAAAAATCGGCTTGAAAATGGTAGAAATTAACCAAAATTCATGAAATCTCCTTTATATACTTTTTGCGGAAAAGGCCTAAAAATGCCACTCAACCTTCAGAAAAAGCCTATCCTTTCCATTCGTTAAAAAATGCTCATTCCATGCCACTGCCGTTACACATATGGCTCACCTATGCCATTATTGACTAACGACTTAATTTTTATTTGGCTCATCCATGCCACTACTGTTAGCCAATAATGGCATGGATGAGCCAAATGTGTAACGGCAGTGGCATGAAATGAGCATTTTTTTAACGGATGGCATGGATAGACCATTTCTGAAGGTTGAGTGGCATTTTTAGGCCTTTTCCAATACTTTTTGCCCAGTGGAACCACACTTGCGGTCCACATCTCGTTTCTGCGACGCCGCACCTGCGGAATTCTCATCGCAGTTGAGGATCTCACTTACTCGCCCAAAGTCTGCATCTGCGGTTAAAAGAAAATAGTTAATCACCCATATTATCCACTAAAAATGGGTTGGATAATAAACTTTTTTAAAAACGGGTCAAATATGGATAAGAACCATATTATCCATTTAGAAAATGGGTAACCAATGAGTCTAACTTTTACATTTCTAAAGCCTCAAATTGGGGGTTCCTCAATTTAGGGAAGAATCTTCCCAAAAGTGATCATATGCAAGAAGTCATTGATAATATCAATATGGTTACCCATATTATCCGCCGGTTAACCCGTTTTTTATCCATAAAATATGGATCGGGTCGGATAATTGATCCATTTTTTTCATTACCCGTTTTCAACCCGAACATATCCGACCCGCCCGCCCGTTTGCCACTCCTACAACAACAACAACGACCCAGTATAATCCCACAAGTGGGGTCTGGGGAGGGTAATATGTACGCAGACCTTACCCCTACCCCGAAGGGTAGATCGTTTGCCACTCCTACAACAACAACAACGACCCAGTATAATCCCACAAGTGGGGTCTGGGGAGGGTAATATGTACGCAGACCTTACCCCTACCCCGAAGGGTAGATCGTTTGCCACTCCTAGTTAAACATAATTATTTTTACGGATAGGCTTGCTATAACGAGTTAAAGATTTATTTACTTTTAATTAGTTATCAAATTACACTTATTATGTCAATGACATGTACTTGTAAGTTACTTTAATTTGATGTGGAAAAATTATTAAACGCTGAATAATGAATATATTTGTCTGCACTCATTAATGTAAATTAGAATAACAAGTGCATGACATAAAAATTTTGCACAGCCAAAAGAACAAGTGCATGCCATATGTGTTATGCACACCGTTTACCACTAAATATAGTTAATTAATATACTTTACCTCAATTTATTATTTAATCGTAAGAAATTAATATAATTTAATTTGATGCACATGCCTAAATAAGATTTTGTTGTAGTGATAGATATATGAATGTGGGGATTTTTGATATTTAACCTCAAGGTTTGGCGAAATATTTCAAGTTTGTGCAAACCTTAGCAACCATAAAATGAATTACTCATTATTAATCACTGATGCTTGTGTTTGGGTTTGGCCACGTTATCTATATCACATCTTTTAGGGTACAACTTTTTCCCCTTCATGTATAAATGCTCTTGCCCTTTTTGTCGTTGAAGTCAATTATCCATAAACAAACAAATGGAAATCTCTAATGACAATAACAATTCTCACGGTTTTTTTAAACAATACAAAACCCTGTATCTGCAGGGTATTTGTTGATTTTTTTAAAAAATAAAAGAGAAGAGAAAGAATAAAAAGCCTGCAATACTCCCAGTACTTTGAACTAAAGGTGTTTAACGGGCCGGGTTGACCCGTAACCGGCCCGGCCCAGACCAGTTAAAATCGGAACCGGACAGGACCGGGTGGGGCTGGGTAGGAGGGGTAGAGGGGGTTGGTCCGTTTAAATTTTGGTAATGGTTAACCGGACCGGTCAAACCCGGTCCACGTGAACAGTACCGTGTACCGGTTAAACCGGCCCGGCCTGGCACAATTTTTTTTTTTGTTTTTTTTAAATTTTTTGAATTAAGTGGGGCCCACTAACCGTTGGCAACGGTAAGACTTGGCAGGGATCCGTTGCCCAACGAGTTAATTGCATTAATAGCCTCTTTTTTCTTTAAAATTTAACCTTTTTTCAATTTACAAAATTAACCTTCTCTAAAACTATAAATACACCCCCTCTTCTTCATTTCTTCGCTCAACTCTCATTCTCAATCTCAATTTCTCTCATTCTTCAATTTTCAAGATTTCAAGTCTCAATTCTCAATTCTCAAATCTCAATTCAATTTAAATCATGCCTCGTACTTCTAGAGTGCGCTCATATGTTTGGCAACACTTTGAGATGGTAGAAGAAAATGAAGAAGGTCAGAAAGTAAAGTGCAAGAACTGTGGTCAAGTCTTAAATTTTCGTTCACAGTCTGACACAGGCAGTTTAAGGAGGCATATCAAGTATTGTCTTGAGCGTCCTCCGGAAATTCGTATTTAAGATTTTAAGACAATTTGTGTTATTTTAAAATTATTAGACGTATTTATGCTTAATGTTTTAGTTTGTTAGATTAATTTGTAGTATTGTTAATTTATTATGCATGAAAATTTAGTTTTACTATTTTTTGTTAATTTACTTTTTAAATGCAAACTTTAATTTTGAATTTTGAAATAAATGTAGCACTTTTAATTTATATTAATACTTTTGTATTAATATAACTTGTAATCTTTAAATTAATACAAAGTATTAATATAACTTACAATAGTTATACAAAATACAAAAAAATAAAAAATACACTAAACCCGGCCCGACCCGACCCCCTCAACCCGTAACTCGTGCGGTTCAATTTTTACCCGGATGAGCCCGAACCCGTTAAGCCCCAACCCGTAACCACTCGGACCGTAACCCGTGCGGGTCCAAAAATAGCAACCCGTCCCGACCCGGCCCACCCGTTTAACACCCTTACTTTGAACTCCTAAAACACAATTAACAATTCTTTTTTGTAGATACTTTCTTATCCTGGAATGAAATTAAATCAAAATTACAAAATATAATTCATCATATAACTATTTATACCCAGTGAATGAGATAGCCACAATCAAACACGAAAAAAAAACTAACACTTCCTTTCTATCTTTTCGCCGTCCACGTCGACATTCCGGCAATCTTCTCCGATCATTCTCCGTTTCCGGCCATCAACTTCCGTTTATCAAAGATGATCAGAATAGAATGAGAATCGCTATCGACCTATCATGTCAGTCTCGTGCTCCGAGTGCTTCTCCGACTTACTCTGCGGCGAGGACTCCGACACCGTTTTATCAAACGGAGGAGGAGGAGAGGATTCGCCGGAATGTTCGTCGTCGGATATCGAATCTCAGTTCGCCGATTTCGATGAATCCATCGCAGGTCTTATTGAAGACGAACGATACTTCGTCCCTGGATTTGACTATTTCGAGAGGTTTCAATCTCAATCTCTAATCTCCGTCGCTAGAGAAGATTCCGTTGCATGGATTCTCAAGGTACTGTTCAAACAATTTCATCGATAGCACAGTAAACTCCGGCAAAGAACTTTACGGCGCATGTTATATTTTTGTTTCTTTTGTTTGCTAAAATATACTTGTGGCTTATTCACGCGCTATATCAGTTCTTTTTTCTTCACTATATTTGATTGAAACTGAAAAATCGAATCCAAATAACGAACGTTGAATCGATTAACTAACAGCGTTGTGTTTTTGCAGGTACAACGCCACTATGGTTTACAGCCATTAACGGCGTATCTGGCCGTTAATTACTTGGATCGTTTTCTCTACTCTAGAAGCTTTCCGGTAAACTAGTCATTTTCAAGTTTTTTTATTTTCTTTTTTCTTTTCCACTTTTATAATGAGAGGCGCGTGTGACCGGAAATAAAGGGCCAAACATCATCGTTATTAAGAGCCCGTTTGGATGAGCTTGTGGCTTTTAAGCTAAAATAGCTTTTAAGTCATAAATTAATAATTTTAGCCTTTTGTTTTTGGCTTGTACTTTTTTACTTTATCCAAACACGCAATTAAAACAAGTCAATCCAATTAATATTTACATTATCAATGCATAACATATGCTTGAAACTTTTTAGAAGTAACACGAAAAGGGACCGTACTTATTAGAGTAATCTATAAGTGATTGATAACTTTAAAAGATGACGGTTAACTATATTGATGACGTTAATTTTTTTATATATAAGATAAAATTTTCGATATTGCGTTGCACATTCTCGAATTACTAAAAGAGTATTTTTTTTTCTCTAAATTAATATTTTTTAGTCATCTCAACTCCATGTTATTATTTTTACAATGACATAATTGACTTTTCACACATTAAGAAAAGTGAGTTATTTGTAATTTCATAAAGAGGGTCTAAAACTTATTTATCGTATATTATTGTTGGCTTTGTTGGTGAGATCTAGTTGTAATCATCTAACAAGGCGAAGACAAATTCAACTTATTGGGTCCTCATTGTTTGTGTACTGTGTTGTATAATGACTAGTATTGTATCGTAATAAAAGTACAAGATCTTTTGTTTTCTGATCTCGCCAATAATAATGTGAACAATATTTTATAGTAATTTATAGTGTCACCTAAAAACAATGGTCTGTAAAAGGTATTTTCAGCTAGTAAAATAGGAAAAGAAAAAGAGAATGAGATAGTACACTTGAAAGTTGATCAAAAAATATTCGAAACCTTTTTAATTACAATTTTCAATCTCGAGTACTTAAATAAATGATAGTTGCATTATCCACCTTATACCCTTTTTTTTAATTTCGTGATGTCCGGGACAATTTATTTGCACTTTAATTATTCTATCTGGTATTTATTACCTTCCGCCATCACATATATCAAATAACTTTATACAATAAAGTTTAAGCAAACGAGAATAAATCACTTAATATCTTTTTATTTTTTGCTGAAAATTTTTAAACCCCGAGTTCTCATTATTTTCTCACTTAAATGAGTTTATTGTACTTTATATGCATGCGTGACTATAATTTAGTATAGGTGACATAGGACCTAAAAGTATTCGTTCAGGGGGTCCGCTTGTCTCTTTTATTAAATTTGTTAAAAGTATACTTAACCTACTGAATATTCTATTTTTTTATTACTTGTATTAAATACGAATATCTTAACGAATTTCCCTTTCTATGTATTTTCAGCAAACGGACGGTTGGCCGCTACAACTCTTGTCGGTTGCTTGCTTATCTTTAGCAGCAAAAATGGAGGAACCTCTTGTTCCTTCTCTTTTGGATCTTCAGGTGATTTGTTTTTATCTTATTGTTTTCTTCTATAATTAAAAAAAAAATATTACCCCTCAGTTCTTGTGAAAAAAAAGGACCCCTCACGTGATTTCTTTCTGAACTTACAGATGGATTTAACAAGTTTTTTTTTCATAGGTTGAAGGTGCAAAGTATATATTTGAACCCAAAACCATCCAAAGAATGGAGTTTCTTGTGCTGAGAATATTAGATTGGAGGCTCCGATCCATAACCCCGTTTTGCTTCCTCAGCTTCTTTGCCTATAAGCTTGATCCAGTAGGGACTTTCACTGGCTTCCTTATTTCAAGGGCTACTGAAATTATCCTCTCAAATATTCAAGGTTGGTTTTTTCCCAAAAAAGAAAAGCAGCAAATATACGTACGTTACACATGCATGCATGTGTATATTTGCGCTAATATAACTTATTTACTGACAATATAAAAAGTTTGTAATGCTATTAGTATATTTTAACATGCTGTAGCATTACCATAATTATTAATATTAATAATTTTTAGATGACTAAATAGTGTAAAATTTCTTACAATACTATGTATGTACAGTGTATAGAAGTTAAACTCCTCCCACGTTCTACATGTACATCGACTATTCAGCTGATAACATATTGCTGATATTTACAGAAGCTAGCTTTCTTGAATATTGGCCATCATGCATAGCTGCTGCAACAATACTTTGTGCAGCTAATGACCTTCCAAATTTCTCTCTAGTGAATGCTGAACATGCTGAATCTTGGTGCGATGGACTCCGCAAAGTAAGAAACTTTATTACCTTCTTTTGCATGCTTTCTAGTTAAAAATTCTTTACTTTAAGAATAAAGTGAAATTCCCATTTTTGGCAGGAGAAAATCGTGGGTTGCTATGAATTAGTGCAAAAGTATGCCATTGCATTAAGACCAAGGAGATTTCCAAAAGTTTTACCACGGGTACGAGTCATGACTCGGGCTAGTACTGTATTAACCAGTGAGTCATCATCCTCGTCCTCATCATCTGCCACATCTTATAAAAAGAGAAAACTAAATAACAACTGGTGGAATACAGATGACGACAGAGCAAGTTCCTGTTAATTAAGGGGTGGCGAATTAAGAATAAGGGTCTAGAAAAAGAAAATGTGGTCCTTAGTCCTTACAATCCTCAGTATTTTTTCATGTTGGAGGGTGTTTTTGAGTTAAATTGACTGGAGTGATGTAGATTATTTAGTACTATATATATATATATATATATAATGTACGTACGATGAGAGTTTGGGACTTGGGAGCATTAAATTAATCTTTTTTATTTGGGTGAGAAGTGCCATTCATTAAATGGCTTTGCAGATTCCCTAGGGAAGGGGATTTGGTACATAGTATTTTGGTGTGAGAAAAGGTGAAAGAGAGAAAAAGAAAGAGAAAGAAGAGATTGTTTAATTATAGTAGCAGTAAGTGGAGTCATGGAGTAGTGAGTGCGAATGAGGTGGCGTTTTGTGATTGTATTCAAAGGGAGCATTGATTATTAAATGAAAGGGGGAATGGGGGAAAAGAGATGGTGGGGGCCATTTACAAAGGATCATTGGAGAAGAGAAAATTAAATTAATGGAGTTGTGGCAAAAAAATATTGAAGTTTGGGGAAATCCATTGATGAATAAGTCAAGAAGGCTCTTCATATTTTATATATAGGCCACCATTATTGCTTCACCAACTTTTACCCTAGCTCCAAGAAAATGAATGAAAATCAACGATCAACTCAAAGGAGAAAAAACAAGGTTTGAACTTCAAGAATAACATTTGGCTCTGTATAATCAGACTTTTGGTTTGAGGTGTGTGCTCTACACAGTGTATGTTTTTTTGGCGGGAAAATTTGCCTTTCTTTTTCTTTGTCCTAACCATATACTGGACTCTTTTTTTCGTCGAACGTGTAAGGTTACACGTGTGTATTCTTTTAATTATTAATTTTCTTTTAAAGGAGGTAATATGAAGGAAAAAACCCTCCTTTTTTCCGGCCAAAATTTGGCCTAACCATACAAAGGGTCTTTGGGGCCTTTCAAAGTGTGTTGTATTTGGATTCTTGTGCCAAACATGATGTTACATCTAGTATATATGAAATAAATTATATCATGTTTTTATTGGATGGCATTTTTTATATTTGATTATTTCTCCCTCACTGTCACTCTTGCTTTTCTTTTTCACAGTGTGACATGCACGTGAATGACAATAAAGACTTTTGTAGCTTTGCCATTTGTTTTTATTACTGCCTAGAGAACTTTATAATGAAAAAGGTGGAATTTTAGGGGGAAACAAAACATGGCCATAGCTAAATGCAGTGAAGTGAAGGAGACTTTAGCTAGAAAGAGCGTTGGTCCCTCTAGCAATAAAAGATGGGTTCCTATGAATGAATTTCACTAGCTAGTTAACCAGTGCAATAGACTGTGCAGTTACCTTATGGTTATCGCATGGTACTGAGTCTGCTCACCCTCGCTTTTGTTGGATTTTCACTAAAAAGATTCAAAATATATTTAAAAATATAAATATATAATAAAATCAAAGAGATTCTAACATATAATATATACATAAAAATAATTTTTAGCTCATCTCCCTAAGATATTTTTCCGGCGAAGAGATCATCAACTGACTCCCCTTGGACAAGGGTAGCTCTGCCCCTAATGTTGCCCTCTTCCCTATCCAAGTATCCAACCTTCAAATTTCTTCCAATCTACAAATGCCATTTGTGTATTATGTAGACCTTTGCTTCTTAAAAATGGGTCCGTGAGAAACCCCTTCCTCAATAATATATGCATATGTCCTATACTGATATTCATTTGATGTAACGATACGGTAAATGCGAAATCCCACTGGCCTTTCTTGCATTCAATGTTGTACCAGCTAGCATTTGTTTATCTTAGTCAGTTTTGTCATCGCAATAAGTGAATTGTTATTTCATCCAGAGCAGTATTAATTTCTCTTATCATAAAATGAGTTTATTTTCTTCCATGAATGGCCAATCCGTTGAGTGAACACTGATGGAAGAATACTATTTGGCCTAAAGATGCAAAGTGGTTGCTATCAGTTAATGATTAATTTTGTAAACAGTGACAAAAATCTACTCAACTTTATCTAAAGATTACGAACGTTACAAAATTCATTTTCGTAGCAAAATGTTAACTCTAACTTTCCCTGTTTATAGCAAAATTTGCTTCCTATGATAATGATAGTTATATAAGGTTTCAATATACCCATAACAGCCACATGGTCATAAGGGTGGTCAACTGACCACCATTCATTGAAAAATTACATTGTGTACAGACGTAAAATATTACATTTTAGAAGTATATAACACATATTGAACACTCTTTATTAAAAATATTTTTTCACTTCTTTTAAATTTAAACATCTTTGGAAAAATTTCTAGCTTCATTACTTACCATAAGACGTCCTAATAAGGGAAGAAGATTGAACAATTGCCTTTTAGTACAAGGGTATCTTTAAAAAGCAAAGATGTGAACCTGAGTTTATGGAAGTACTTTCCTTGATTATACTACATTAGTTCAGTTGTTAGGAGCCACGTAGTACCAAAGCGAATGAATCGTCAAATCACTTCTCAATTTAATTAGTAGTATTAGGTTTATCCTGGACCACATATAAAGAAGAAAACTGATCGACGAGGTTGGGCATTAAATTTGTCAGGACTATTTATAACAATTTCTGTTTGGACTCTCACAAATAAGGGTACCTGCTGCTTTTGCTGTTTCATTAAGGACCAGGGAATTACAATAAATAATGTAAAAAAAGAAAATGTTAATTCCAGGAATGAATGAAGACATTTTAAGCTATGGACACTGATATAGACTTATCTTATTGAAAATTGTATCACTATAATGGAGTCTCCCTTTCCTTTTGGTTTTTTTCCAACACCGTGGTTCCCACAAAAACCAAATCCAAGGGACTTGATGATCCACTTGATATTTGAAAATTTATATAAGTCGTAATTTAGAGAAAAATTAACGATTTATATAGTATTGATTTTTGAATATGTGGCCTGTCCTAATTAGGCCGGAATTAAAGACAAACACCCTTCCCTTAATCAGACAAATCAACCATCTTCCCCATTAAAAAGGTTATATTTGAAATTTGAAACTTTGGTTCTTGTTTGGTGATTAACAACCATGTCCAATAATTATACTTTGGTCTTCGCACCCTCTCAAATTATATGGATTTGAATTGACAAAAATGAACAAAAATGGGGATGAAGACAATCAATAGGACGAGCAGTCCATGACTAACATTAACAATTTGGAATAGCAAGTCACGTGATTCTGACAATAATATCAATTATTAAAGACAGCAATATTTGGTATTCTTGAGGTTGTGATAAAAGAGTTTATGTTTTATTAATGAGAGAAAAATATTTTATACAGTTAGTATTCTACGTTAAGAATGATTAGGTAACATGTTTAAGTTGATTAAATTACAGTAGGCATCAGTCAATGAAACTTAAATTCAGTTAGGGGTCCTCTGGTTTGTTTTATTTTTTTGGTTTCCTATCCAGTATTTGATACCTGTATTGGGGCACCGACCATTTCAAATTTGCGCCACGTAAGACCCACTAAAGGGGAAAGCACACTTCCTACTGTTTGACACAAAAAGATGTTAAAACTTTTTAGACAAATCAATCAAAGAAGAAGAGGTAAATCGTAGCTGAAGATAATTATCTCTAGACTAATAATAGGTAAGGAGAAGAGAGTTGCAAAGTTTCTTTGTATTCAAGATTCGTTCGCTTTCAGAATGTCCCCCCTACAAGATCTTTTTCCCTTTATATATTAGAGAGAAAACATTCAGAATTATAAGAAATAAAAATACAAGGAATATTCGACAGAATATTCTCAATGTCTCCTAATGGGCTTACATTTCTACAAGGAAGTTTCTACTTTTGCCTTAAGGTCGTCTTCCTCGGAACGCCGATTCGAAGATACGCGGTCGTTGGTCGTACTCATCATAGGTCGAGGTCGGTCAAATTTGGACCCATACAGTTAGTCCCTCCACTTGTCGGGGTCGTAGCCGAATGCGTCCTCGATGAGCGGACCTCGTGCATTCGTTTGGAGAAATTTGATCTGTGGGAACGACATGACGTGGCCAACGGGGGTTGGTCATCGTATTCAACGAGATATCGTGCGGTATACTTCTCCGGGAAATGATGTCAGCTTTACGTGTGTCATCATTGCGCAGATTTTTGAGGTAGGGATTGACGGCTTGGTGCTTCGATTCTTGTGTTGCTTTGAAGCCTGCCGCCTCGATTCTGGCGCCTTCCAATCCTATGAATAGGTGAAGGCTTTGATTTTTTGAAAAACTTTGGTCATTCCTCTTCTTGAAGACCTCTTTCGTTATTCCTTGTTTGCTTTCATATCTTTTTGCTCTTCTTTCGAACTCGAAGCTTCTTCTTCTTTCCTCCTTTTGTATTGATACTCCTCCATACGATATTATGTCGAGGTCTTGACGTTTTCGCGAGGAGGTTCCTGAAGCCACCCCATTATCAACGATGCCTCCTTCTGACAGTGGAGACGTGGTGGTAGAAGAAAATGACAGCCCTCCTACGGTGGAGGAGCTGCTACTGAGGCACCCCTTATCCCAGCGTGACTTCCTCAAATATCCACCTCCCACTCCGAACCCCGTATTTTCTGAGACGGAGCAGATCCATATTGATGCACTTCGTATAAAGTATGGCATTCTTGCTCATATAGAAATGGTTCCAACGGGGAGAGATTACGTGGACGTCCTTAGACCTGGGTACTGCACTTTCTACGAGTACCCTTTTATGATCGGCTACACCCTTCCTCTCTTCCCCTTAGCAGAAGAATTCTGTAGATTTTACCAAGTTTGCCCAACACAACTTTCGCCATACACGCTCAAGGTGCTTTTACTATTGACTAAGTATGCAGAGTTGGCGGAATGTAGCGTTTCCGTCCATCACCTTTTGCACTTGTTCACGCCTGGCTTCCTTATGGGTACCATGATGCATTTGAGGCTTCATGGTACAAAAAGGCTGGTGGCCGGGACGGATGACCGGGCGAGCCGCAAGTTTTGGCACAAGTATTTCTTTGTCAAGACCGAACATGTCATTTCTGACTCCGCCAGATTTCCGGAGCGATGAACGAAACTCGTAAGTGCCGTCATCCGTTATGTTCCCCTCTCTTCTGTAATTATTACAACTTTTACTTACTCGCAGTTTTGCAGCTATGGGCTGTCCGCCTCGCCCCATTATGGGTATCAAGGATTAGGTAGCCCGCATGTTGCCTCACGCAGCAGAAACTCAGACTTCGCCCGCCTTCGTGCAGCGTTATGGCCCTAAAGTTTCCTCAGGTAAATGATTTACTTACTACTTTGTTGGCCATGCGACCTTGCTTAATAATACGACCCTTTGTGATGACAGGTCAGGGAGCTTCTAGGCGGAGGGCGTCGGTTCCCGCCTTTAGACAAGCCATTGCTACTGCGGACACGCGGTTTATCTTGAGCGAGTCTGTTCGAGAGGGTCATCCTCAACCTATTCAATTGGGAGATTCGTCTCGAGTTGTGGCCACGAGGGAGGAGGCTTCTTCGGTACCGGCCTCACATCCTTTGGATGAATCATCTAACGGGGACGAGCCGTTGGAGAGAAAAAGGAGGAGGCTGGAGCTGGGGAAGGGCGTGGCAACAGACGCCGACAGCAGCAAGGACAGCCCCGGTACCCGTATTCATGGCCAAGCCATTTTGTCGGGGAGATCTCCCCAAGTGGAGGGAGTTGGCCCGGGAGCCGGTTTAGTGCGCTCCGTTGAGGGTGGTGAGTCGTCTAATGTTGGAGGACCTCGTGTCGAGGGTGGCAACTCGGGTTCTGATATCGACCTAGAGGATGTTAATGAATTTGTGGGTCGCCATACCCATGTGGAGGTTAGGATGGACCGATCTGACAGTCATGTGGTAGTCTCGGGGAACTATAACTTGCTGCTGAACACCGAGCAGGTGGCGTCGACCCTCGCTCCTCTATGTGCTGCTCCCAAAAGTGAGATGCTTGGAGCAATGAGCGACGTGGAGATATCTCAGAAGGTTGCTAGTATGGCCCTGCAGGTAGGTGCCTGTCCTTCTCTTTTTGTCGTTGGATTG